ATTTTTTTGCAATTTCTGTTTAACGGACAGAATTTTTTTTCAACACATTTCTAATCATAATAGTTTTAATAATTAATTTCTAATAACTGATATATATTTTATTTATCATGATGACAGTAAATAATATTTGACTAGATATTTATCAAGACGCTTCTATACAACATAAAGTGACATTTAAAGGCTTAACTAGGTTAACTAGGCAGGTTAAGGTCATTAGGCAAGTTATTATATATTGATGGTTTGTTCTGCAGACTATCGAAAAAAATATAAAAGGGGCTAATAATTTTCACCTTAAAATGGCTTTTTAAAAAATTAAAAATCTACTTTTATTCTTGCCAAAATAAAACAAATAGGATTTTCCCTTGAAGAAAAAATATTATTAGACAGACCTCATCTGCGAAATATTTAAAATAGAAAACAAAATTCAAAGGAGGGCTAATAATTCTGACTTCAACTGTATGCTGGATTAGTTGGCCGTTCACTCCGCTGTGGCGACCCCTGATAAATAAGCGACTAAGCCAAAGGAAAATGAATGAATGATTGCCTTACACAATTTAACATTTTAATTTTGTGACTAAATATCAGCTGCAAAGCCAAAAAACAGAAATATTAAATTCTAATTCAAACAAATTTAAAATGTAACAGTAAATAGCTCGCAACCTGTAATTAGCTCTCTTCTTTAATTCGCTCAGTGACCATTTATGCCACCTAATATAGGCTACACTTAAAAACTAATCATTTTAACACAATACAAAACATAGGAAGATAACATTTTCATAAATGGAAAGTAAAATTTCACATTAATAACAAAACCCCCTGACACTCCATGACCTGGACAAAAATATATGTAGCCCATCGGTCCCACTGCACCCAACCCAGTCTGAGCTGATATTGAACTGGCAATTCTTAGCATGTGAGTCGGTTGCTCTAACAAGAAGGCCAAAGACCATGACCTATTGCATCTGTTGATAGAGCACATTTTGAGGTTAGAGGAGTGAGGTTTACCTCCACAGCACTTCACTAGCTGGCCTCAGTTACACTCACCCCCCTAAACCTCACTCCCATCCCGGACGAGCCCCCACGTCTAACCTACCCGTCCCAGAGCACACATCCCGGTGGTGATTCTTTGCATGGGAGTCGGTTGCTTTAACAAGGAGGCTAAAGACCATGGCCCTAGCATCTGGCCCAGACATCCCAAGTTGAGACTTGTAATACTCGGGCAAGAGAGGGGGGTGGGTGTTGTTTGACAGAGGCTGTTTCTCAATATGCGTTCTTCTGCGGTCTTGCGTCCTCGTGTTCTCGTGCAACGTCATCATCAGCTGCCAAAGTTCAGTTCCAATACTCAAGACCGCAAGTACAGAGGACGCGTGAAACTTCCCGGATGTGTTCTTGATATCGAGGACGCACCGATGCAGACTTGAGCACCGAACTAGCTCTGGAAGTCCCAGAAGTCATTGCGACTGGAGGTGGGAAGCGCAGCATTTTATTTAGATTTATTATTAAAGTTCATAGATATGAATTATTTACCTCAGGAGTTTCCCTGAATGAAACGGTGAAAGTAAACATTACCATGGACATCTTAGTAAAGGAATAAACACATTAAGGGTGTTTGTTTGCTGAAATTCGCATTAAAATCTGTTTAATTTATATTGTGCGGCATATATTTATAATGTTTTTATGCAAAGTATATATTTTGAAAAGGGGAAAAACAATAAATCATTGTATGAAGGCTGTAATGTTTAAATAATTTACCATTTAAAACACGTGAAGGTCATGTGACCATCAGGAAGAACGCAGCATCTCAATTCTCAAAGGACGCGTTCTCTGCCCTCGCGGTCACCTGAGTTCGTTCTCCCGAGGACAACTGGCAAGACCGATATCCACAAGAACACAAGTCTGTTCTCTGCGTTCTTGGAATTGAGAAACAGCAGAGTGTGCGCGACGTGCCTGAAGAGCGAGGATGGATCTGTTGGTGAGGGGTGAGAAGGGTGCGTGACTTATTTGAGGACCGAGAGGGAGATGTACGATTTCCGGGAGATTATCACTCGTTCACGGGCATCCGGGATACTAATAACTAATTTCTAACTGATTTATTTTATCTTCGTTATGATGACAGTAAACAATATTTTACTAGACGTTTTTTAAGACACTGTTATTCAGCTGAAAGTGACATTTAAAGGCTTAACTAGGTTATTTAGGCAAGTTAGGATAATTAGGCAAGTCATTATACAACAGTGGTTTGTTCTGTAGACAATTGAAAACATTAACATTGGACATTAACATTGACCTTAAAATGATTTTCAAAAAAGTAAAAACTGCTTTTATTCTAGCCAAAAAAATAAGACTGTCTCCAGTAGAAAAAATATTATAGGAAATAATGTGTAAAATTCCTTGCTCTGTTAAACATCATTTGGGTAATATTTAAAAAGGAGAAAAAAATCACAGGACGGTGAAAAATATTGACTTCAACCAGGCCCGGATTGGCTAATCGGGAGGACCGGGAGAATTCCCGGTGGGCCGGTCCGTTTTTTGGCCGCGAGGGCCGGTGTCCCTAGCTGCAGAATCTGTTGCTCTCAGCAGTCACACTTTTTAAATTTATTCATTTATTTACTTGACCACAGCCTTTTTATTCATTATTTTACCGCAACTCTTCTCTTTTTATCTATTTTCTCGGATCCTTGTGAGCTAGATGCAGCCTGCAGGTTAATGATGATATAACTCAGATGAGTCTCTAGTCAATGTAAAGTTGTTGTGGTCCAGCAGTTAGCACGTTATGTTATGACACCGCTGACCTGGGTTCGATTCTCATTTGAGTACTAATTTTTTTTTCATTTTTATTGTTAAGACATATAATACTGTTAGGGTTGTTGAACATTTGAAGTTCTAAAGCAGCTGTTTTCTCAAAAAAAGACTTGATAGTGTCATTAGAAACTGATTTGGAAATGACCTTATTTTAATATTGTCAGTTGTGAACTGAGGTGGGCCGGTCTGAGGCTTGAAACTCCAGGGCTGAAAAGGAGTCCCACTCCGGCCCTGACTTCAACTGTATATATACTGTCCTCCCTATACTCAACACCTTAGCTCTTTCTGGATTTGATTGTAATGTAATGTACAAATAAACTCGAATTAAATTGATTACGTGCGCTCTCAGACTGACCTGGATGCAGACTGTAACAGGTGACGTTTGTGCCTTTGAGTCTCTTGGCCAGCTCGTGTGTGAACAGGACGTTGCACAGTTTGCTGTGGCTGTACAACATCAGCAAGCCCAGAGCAGAATCTCCTTTGCCCAAATCTTTTTGAGCGTTGATGCAGTTGAAATCCATTTTCCCCCACGCATGGGCCATCGAAGAGACGGTTACGATTCTGCTGGGACCGCACTCTTTTAACCGTTTCAGCAGCAGATCCGTTAACAAGAAGTGACCAAGGTGATTTACGCCAAACATCCTTCCAAAGCCATCCTCAGTCTTGCCACCAATCACAAGTCCTACATGTAGATGCAGAAAAACAATGTAAAGCTTTTAAATATGAGGCGGAATTTTCAATTAATGTTAAAAAATGTGTGTATATTGGGGATTAAAGCTACTTTTAAAAGAAATATATTACAATCTTGAGTTAATTTCTTTAAATAACTAAATATGTCACTTAGTTACTTTTTAAGGTAAGTAATGTGTCCCAGGCTCATTCTGATTAAGTTCCTTTATATACATTTCTGTGAGAGCAAAGTAAATCCCAGGAGGTACTTTTTGATTTGTAGTTTTTGTTTTCGTGAATTCACCAGAGGCTGCTGTGTTCGCTTTTTTAGATCTCTAATTTTTTTTGGCGAGCACCGTTAGAGCCTGCTGTTCTCGCATAAATCCACTGTCGACTGACTGACTTACCAACCCAACCAATAGTGTTTTAAAAAGCACCGATTGACCCGCCCACCCTCTTCCCTGAACCCAACCGACCGTGTTTTAAAAAGCAATCCAGAAAAATCCTGATTTTTACCACGTTTTCAGATTTTTTTTACATTCTCACCCTGTTATTTACTTGCTTATTTTATTTTTTAGCTTTTGTTTTTATCTTTTCTGCTTTCAGTAACTGTTGTTTGCTCTACGTCCGCTGACGTACATATCGAGATACTGGTCAAACTGGTAACAGCATGAAAGCCGTCCATAGAGAGGTGAGCGGTCAGCTGGTAAGCACGAAAAGAAACGGTGCCATACCGCCCCCTAGCGTTTGTTAAAAGATTAAATGCAGCCATACGTACTTCTGGCTACATAATTCGTGATCTCCAGAAATGTATACAGGGCTACGTTTTCAGAATGAGCCTGTGTTGTAATGTGTTGTTCATTTATTTATTTTCTTTTGCCTTAGGGCTTAGTCCCCTTATTTATCAGGGGTCACCACATCGTATTGAACCGCCAACTCTACCAGGTTATGTTTTCTCGCCGTGGATGCCCTTCCAGCTGCAACCCAATACTGGGAAACACCTATACATTACAGCCAATTTAGTTTATTTAATTCACCTTTAGCGCATGTGTTTGGACTGTGGGGAGCACCCGGAGGAAATCCCACACCAACATGGGGAGAACATGCAAACTCCCCACAGAAATGCCAACTGGCCCAGCCGGGGCTTGAACCAATGACCTTCTTGCTGTGAGGTGACAGTGCTAACCACTGAGCCACCTTGCCACCATGAAGTGTTGTTAGTTTTGCTTTTTTTCATCTGGGCTACATGAGCTTAATATTTTAATATTCATTCATTAATTCATTCATTCATTGTGACGTAGGTTAATAATTCCTCTATTCATTCATTCATTTTATTTTCAGCTTAGTCCCTTTTTATTAATCCAGGGTCGCCACAGCGGAGTTAACCGCCAACTTATACAGCACGTTTTTACAAAGTGGATGCCCTTCCAGCCGCAACCCATCTCTGGGAAACATCCACACACACTCATTTACACTCATACACTACAGACAATTTAGCCTACCCAATTCACCTGTACTGCATGTCTATTGGGGGAAAATGGAGCACACGGAAGAAACCCACGCAAATGCAGGGAGAACATGCATACTCCACACAGAAATGCCAACTGACCCAGCCAAGGCTCAAACCAGCGACCTTCTTGCTGTGAGGCGACAGCATTACCTACTGCCCCACTTCGTCGCCCAATATTTTTATGTATTACATTTAAAATTAGGCGACGTATTGGCGCAGTAGGTAGTGCTGTCGCGTCACAGCAAGAAGGTCACTGGTTCGAACCTCGGCTCAGATGGTGTTTCTGTGTGGAGTTTGCATGTTCTCCGTGCCTTCGCGTGGGTTTCCTCCGGGTGCTCCGGTTTCCCCCACAGTCCAAAGACATGCGGTACAGGTAAATTGGGTAGGCTAAATTGTCCATAGTGTATGATTGTGTGTGTGTGGATGTTTCCCAGAGATGGGTTGCAGCTGAAAGGGCATCCGCTGCGTAAAAACTTGCAGGATAAGTTGGCGGTTCATTCCGCTGTGGCGACCCCGGATTAATAAAGGGACTAAGCTGACAAGAAAATGAACAACAGGCAGGCAAAATACCAGTGGCTGCAAACAGCTATTGTTTGTTTTAATGGTAAGAAGCTGAAACACTGCAATCAACACACATTAAACATTTTTTTAGTTTGTTCTAACGCAATACTGCTTAGATATTGTTTTGTTGTTGCTTTTTATCATTTGAAGAGTTTAGATGCAAAAATCTCTAAATGCCATTTGATATTTCCTTCTGAAATTAGCATTTTTCTCCAACTCCTTTATTTAGGCTTAGTAATTTTACCTTGATTCATTCATTTTCTTGTCGGCATAGTCCTTTTATTATTCCTGAGTCGCCACAGCGGAATGAACCGCCAACTTATCCAGCAAGTTTTTACGCAGCAGATGCCCTTTCAGCCTCAACCCATCACTGGGAAAAGTTTGACCTTTATAGTAACGAATAATTTCTTTTTTATTGCCTTTAAAATGAAATAATTGAACAGGAGGCTGAGAAAATGTTCATCACAAGTGAACATTTCAGATGGCCTTTAGAGGTTTTTGTATCTGAACTCTTCATATTTCATTAGATGTGACATGCTTCATATAGGCTTTAAATATGAAGGAATTTATAGATCATCAGTAACCATTAAGTTTGTGATCATTTACTTCAAAATGAAAACTTTTTTGTCTGGTTTATTTGGTTAAAAAAAATCACAACTGAATCCATCCTTATAAAGGGGGCAGAATAATTCTGTTTTTTGGAATCAAATAAATCCCAATCTGAGTTCAAAGTTTTGATTTTGAGGACAGGTTTGATCTAAATCAAATGTAAGATTGGATTACATGGTCTGATAATAATTCAAAATCCCTCAATTGCTTTTGAAAAACCGATTTCCAAGATTTGATCCAATCTGTGATCCAAAATCCCACTGGATTACTTTTGAAAAACTAGGCCCTGATGACAAATGTCCCGATAAGTTTATAAATGCCATTAAATACCAGTCAATTTTGACCTTGTGGGGATTTTTTGGTCACAAATGTGAGGCGGAATTTTCAAGTAATGTTAAAAAGTTGTGTATATTTTATAGGCATACCTGCATTGTTGATAAGAATGTCCAATCTGGATTCTTTCTTGAGGAAGTTTTCAGCAAAAGATCTCACAGACTTCAGACTGGCCAGATCCAAGTGCATGTACAACACCTCTTTGCTTCCCGTTTCCTGTTTTACAATCAAATTATTAATGATTGTGCAACAAAGACAGCAGAAAAACATTGAAATATTCATTCATATAAAATCATTAAATATGAAATATTCATATGATTTATTGATGAAATGTTCAATGAATGGTGATGAATGATGAAGTATGTGTTCATATAAAACAGCTTCACGTTTGATAAATAAAAATGCATTTATTATGATTCATTTTAATTTATTCAGTGTTAAGTCAATTCAGAGTAGAATATATATTCTGGTATGACTCATTACTTGATAAATAATAATTATTAACATTTACAAATGATACAACGTCTTCTATATGTTTATGAGTAAAGCATTTTAGGGAGGATATAAACATATTAACAACATGACTTTTCACTTGAAACTTTTTTTATGTATATAAGTTCTTGAACTCATTTATACAGATCTTAACCGTTAGATTTACAAAGTAGACAAAAAAATCCCGTTCTTTTGTCTCAATTTAGATTTTGGGATATTTATATTATCTATGATATATAAACCTATGAGTTTACTATGAGATGGTTAATAGATATGTCCTTTTGTTGAAGCTGTACATTTTACATTGCTTATTTTTCTTAATCTTTCTATATATACAGGATTCTAAAAACATCTAAAAATTACATAATTAAAACATCCTCCTTGTTTTAACAAAATCCTCCTTGTTTTAAATACTGTTAATAATATTTGTTTTATTTATTTCTATATCTTCTGTACCATGTATATATTTCTACATTAAAACGAACCTAAAGTTAAGTTTATAAATGTTCTAAACTTCAATATTT